AAAGAAAGAAAGAAAGAAAGAAAGAAAGAAAGAAAGAAAGAAAGAGAAAGAGAAGGAAGGAAGGAAAGGAAAGGAAGAAAAGAAAAAATGAAAAAGCGAAAGAAGGCAGGAAACGAGGAGAGAAGGGTGTAAGTGGACAGGCCTGGGAAGTCTGGCTCTGTGAGCTTAGAGATGCTTAGGAAAACCTTCTGGAAAAGAAGTTGGATTTTGAGTTGGATCTTGAAGGATGAGAAAATGTGGAGAGGGAGTGGAAGGGGGCGGGCACTACAGCAGGAACAAGGGCCCTGAGAAGAGAGCCTGGCAAAGCCTTGAAGGACAAGGAAGGCTTGAGCAGGCTGTCAAGAGAGAGGACAGCACATCAGAAGGGAGCCCGGTCAGCGCCAAGTGGGGTACTTGACCAGGTGAACGGAAGCCAGGTGTAGGGGTCCTGGAGTTTGGCATGAGGCCTGGAGAGCATCTAGAGGCTGGGTTTGGAGGCAGTGAAGTGGCTGGGGGGACTTGAACTCTCTCCGACTCAGAGGACCCACTTTGAGGCCGACCCCTCCCCCACGCCCCACGCCCCGTGCTCCATGCCCCATGCTGAGGTGGTTACAGTTCTGCCGGGTCTGGGGTCTTGGCATCTTCTTGCTTCCTCCGGCAGGCAGCCCAGGCCAGCAGAAGTGCAGCCAAGGTCACTGCCTTCAGCCCCAGGACCACAAGCACGAGCACAGACAGGAGGCCTGGAGGACACAGGGGAGAGCTCAGGAAGGACCCTGGGTGATCCCCCAACGGTCCAGACCTCAATGTCCCCACAGGGAGGTCTGGCCCAGCTGCTGTAAACCTCTAGGACCACCACCAAGAGAAAAGATCAAAGACCTCCCCTCCCTCTGTCCCGAGCCTGAAGAAGCTTTACCCAATATGCTACCCGTATGTTTAGTCATCTCAGCAGCATCCCTGACCTCTGATCGTAATAGAAAACTGTTCATTTACTGGCTGCTCAGCTCCTCTGCCCCAGACTTTGAGCTAAGCCCTTCCTACTTGCCTAAAATAATCCTTAAACTTATGCTGCAAGGCAGGATAATCATGCCGTTGGTACCGATGAAGAGGCAGAGCCAGAGTGGGGAAACGATTTGCTCAGGGGCACGTATATTAGAGAAGTGATGGGACCCATCGCTGGATGGGGGTCACCCGGGTGGTCTGGCTCCCACGAATGGCAGGAACAGGGCTGAGAGGCAGGGAGCATCCAGTGCCGCTACCCCAGGGCTCATCCTCAAGCCCACCCTGTTCCCAAGTGCCCCGAGCGTTAACAGGTGGTGTGATATGCACAGTGCTGGGCGCTTGACACATGTGATCTCATGGGACCACCATACAGCCTCATCAGGTATGCTCTCTGACTCTATCCCTTCTTTGCCCCTCGTTCATGGTGCAGGACAACAGAAATTCAAGGAGCAAGGCCACACAGGTAGAAAGGGGCTCGATCCAGGAGGCCTGCCTACAAAGCCATGTTTTTCAGCACTGTTAGGTACAGTTTCACGGTGTATCCTTGCACTGAATCATGGGGAGCTCACTACCTGTCAAGCAAGACTGCCCAGTGCACTGTTATGTCTGGCTCTTAGAAAGTCCTTTCTTTGGTTGAGCCTTAACGTGGCTCTCTGGGTTCCTGGTCCTGCCATTGAGATGAATCCCTGGGGACTTTCTTGGTGGCAGAGAGCCCTAGAAGGAAGGACTGCTCCCTTCCCATGGCCAGGCCATCTTTCACCCCCCCTTGCCTGTGGGGACCGGGTGCCTTCCCAGGAAGTAGGTACACTCACCTGAGGGAAACGTCCTGCCTACATGTTCACTGGTAAATTTTGTCTCTTGGGGAGACGTGGTGGGCTTTGCTGCAAGAAAGAGAGACAGTCTCACCATCCCCTTATCTTTCTGTTTTGCCACTTCCTGAGCCCCTACACTAGGACCTAGGGTCATCGAAATGGGTGTGCCGGGGATGGGCGCTAGAAGTCAAACTCTGAACTATGAGAGACTAGTTAGATCTGTTCGAACATCTTTGGGGCAGGTATAATGTCTGATTCACTGCAGTATCTACAGCACCCAGTATAGCGCAAGGCAGGAAACAGGCACTCAACAGATGCTGTGAAGTCATTAAATCTATACGGTTTTGTGGAGCCCAGAACGGGGAGAGATGAACTCTGGGAGAAACAGAAGGTTTTACAGAGGAGGGGCTATTTGTGCTGGGCTTTGAAGGATGAGTAGGAGCTCTCCAGAGAGAGGGAGAAAGCATTCCAGGCAGGGGGAACGGTTTACATAACAGTTGGAGGCTGAGAAGGGCTGGCCTATTTGGGACATGGTGGGAAGTTCCTTGGGGCCCACCTGTCTCTCTCCCTCCCCCCAGTGCCTTCTAGACTATCTGTCTCACCTTTTACTCTCAGCCTGGTTCCCTGGCCGGACTGGTACTGCCTGTTGGACTTCCTGTGGAACTTCACACAGTAGTAGGTGCCTGCGTACTCGGTAGACACGCCTTGCAGGAGGATGCTGAAATCGCTGTTGGACGCCCGGACTGCTGTCACATTGGGGTGCGAGATGCCTTCAAAGTTGTAAATGGCCTCGCGGCTCAGACCTGCCCCCCGAAACCACCTGATGGGTCCTGAGGGACCATGTCCAAGCACGGTGCAGTTCAGCAATACAGTGTCTCCCACGGTTGCTGACACCACCTCCTGGGGCTGCAGGATCCAGAGGTTTGACTCTGGGGCCCCAGCTCCTGAAGCCAAAGAGAGGGTCCTTGCTGTGTTTCCTGTCTTCCTCCATCGTCCACTCAACTCCTCCCTCCTCCCTTCCCTCCCTCCCCACTTCCCCGATTTCTCTACCCAGATACTCCCTCTACTTCCCCCCATTAGGCTCAAGTTGATTCACTCAGTAAAGAAGTTCGCAGGACCTGCTACGTGCTGAGTTTAGGATTGGGGGGCATGGAGCTCGGCGAGACACACACACGCATCCGGCTGGGAAGGAGTTGTCAGTCTGGTGGTGGAGATGGTCCAGAAAACCCCCTTGAGGTTGGAAACCCAGAGGACTGTGGGGCCAAGAAGGGGCACCTGTCGCAGCTTGGGAGGACTCGGAGAAGCCTCGCTGGAATGCTTGCATCGAGTTAAAATGAACCCCTGCCCCACCTCCAACTGCTGCACACAGATATTCTGTTAACAGTTTACAGGTTCCACAAACACCCATTCTTCTATTTCATCACCCAAATGGCCCCTGAAGTAAGAATTATGTCACCTATTCTACAAAGTAAGCACTTGAACTGGATAGGGCTGAAGTGACCGACTTAAGAACACGCTCCTATTGAATGACAGACCCAGGGTTTGAGGGCCCAGGCCCCCGCCGCCGGCCTTACACACAGCATGACTGCTCAGGTGCGGAGCGTGGTACGTGAAATTAACCGCCCCAGCGCGTGCATCCTTCTCCCGCCTGGTGGTGGGAGGGGTCACATCCTGGTCTCCTGACTTGGCGTTTAGTCACGTGCCTTGCTTTAGCCAATGGGCTGTTAGCAGATGTGACCTGGTTAGAAACTTGAAATGGGCTTGGGGCCCTGGGACGCGTCCTCTTTGCTTCCGCCACCTCCACGACAGAGACGTACTCTGCGTAGCTGCAGTGAGACGTGGCGGTGGAACGAGGCACGCGGAGCAGAACCACTCCGGACGCCTGCAAACATGTGAGTGAGACACACTCTGTGTGCCACCTGGGATTTTGTGTGGATGGATAAAGGCGGCCGACGCAGGGAGATGGATCCGAGCCGGGTGCCTAAGACCCCCCGGAGCCTCATGCTCACCCTTCACAAACACCGAGGTGCCCTCCTCCAGCGTCTTTTCTGAGTTCTCGCCCAAGTCGCCGAACCGCACGCAGTGGTAGGTTCCAGTATGCGTGCTGGTGACATTGCGGATATAGATGGAATAGTCACAGTTCGGTGGCTCGGGTGTTCGCTGGATCACGGGCGTCACCCCAGGGAAGAGGCCGTGCTTGAAGTTATAAACCTCCTGCTGGTCCTGACTGCTCACCTTGACCCATTTAATCCCGTCGTCAGTGCAGGACCCTTCCACGGTGCACCGCAGCACCAGCGTGTCCCCCTCCGCCACCAGCAGGGGGCCCTGGGGCTGCAACACCTGCCGCTCACTCCCGTCGCTCTGCCCAGAGGCTCCTGCGACAGAGGGGAAAAGGCTTTGTGCTGAGCTGGAAGGACCTGGGGCCCCAAGAGAGGAGATGAACACAATCTGGTCTTTGGCTGGCCAGCAACGTTGCTCGGGACGCGGGAGGGGCGTCGTTGGGGAGGGAAGTGTGAAAGATGAGGAGGTCGTCTGGAGAGGCAGAACGGAGCTGTTGAATGGAGAACTTACAAACAGTAGGTGGCACTTATGTGCCCACCACGTGCCACGCCCTGCGTGTATTACCGCCTTTATTCTTCCCAACGCTCGTGTGAGGTAGGCAGTATCATCCCCATCTTCCCAGAAGGGCTGAGAGCCCAGACGATTAGGGATGTTTCCCAGGATCGCAGTTGATGGGCTGAATGGTGTCTCCCCGGCCAAATTCATATGTGGGAGCCCTAACCTCCAGTACCTCTGAATGTGGCTGCATTTGGAGACAAGATCTTTAAAGAGGCAATTAAATTAAAACGAGGTCATAAGGGTGGGCCCTACTCCATAGGATGGGCGTCCTTAAAAGAAATCAGAGGCACGGAGAGAAGATGGCCATCTGCAAGCTAAGGAGAGCGTATTCAGAAGACACCACCAACCTTGCTGACACCTTCCCCTAGACTTCTAGCCTCCAGAGGTGTGAGAAAATACATTTCTGTTGCTTAAACTACCACTTTATCACGACCACTGAAACAAACTAATATTTCATCCAGTAAGAATGTGACGATCTGTTTCTGGAGCCCCCCACTCCCAGCCCTCAAACATATCATACAAAGTGTGAGTGCTGTGGTGTTTAGTGTAAGCATCATCTGGCTTCCTGTGAATTGTTTTTTTTTTTTTTTTTAATGTTTTATCTTATATTTGAGAGAGAGGGGAGAGCAGGGGAGGGGCAGAGAGATGGAGACAGAATCTGAAGCAGGCTCCAGGCTCCCAGCTGTCAGCACAGAGCCTGATAAGGGGCTCAGACCCACGAGCAGTGAGATCATGACCTGAGCCGAAGTTGGAGGCTTAACTGACAGAGCCGCCCAGATGCCCCTGAATTCTTTTTAACATTTAATTATTTTTATTTGTTTAAAAACATTTTTTAATGTTTATTTTTGAGAGAGAGACGGAGTGTGAGCAGGGAGGATCAGAGAGAGAAGGAGACACAGAATCTGAAATAGGCTTTAGGCTCCAAGCTGTCAGCACAGAGCCCGACGTAGGGCTTGAACCCACGAACTGTAAGATCGTGACCTGAGCTGAAGTCGGATGCTTGTTAAATCTGAGCCACCCAGGTGCCCCCATTTAATTATTTTTTAAAGTAATCTCTACACCCAATGCAGGCCTCAAACTTACAGCCCTGAGATCAAAAGCCACATGCTTTATGGACTGAGCCAGCCAGGCACCCCCCTGTAAATTCTTTTTTTTTTTTTTAAATGACTTTATTGAGATATTATTTCCACACAGTAGATATCAGAAATTTTATGTATTATATGCAGTTCTTTCGCTTTGAAAACATTTTTTAACTTCAAGTAGAGTGGATATATAATATGATTTTAGTTTCAGGTGTCTCGTGTGAATTCTTTACCAAACTGCAGTGCTTGTTGGTGCTTTGGGAAGTGGATCTGTTTTGGGGGTTGAGCTGCTGAGTTTGGCCTCAGGAGCATGGAGAGAGAGGGCCGAGACCTTCCATGCAGGTTCTTTTACAGGTGGGGTATGAACCGGTGCTCCTCTCAAGAAGTCCCTGAGGTAGGTATTATTATGATCTCCATTTAAAAAAAAAAATGTTTATTCATTTTTGAGACAGACAGAGACAGAGTGTGAGCAGGGGAGGGGCAGAGAGAGGGGGAGACACAGAATCCAAAGCAGGCTCCAGGCTCCGAGCTGTTAGCACAGAGCCCGACATGGGGCTGTCATCTCCATTTTTGAGAAAACGGATGGTCAGAGAGGGGAAGAAACGGTCAGTGTCCTGGCCAGGATTTGGACTCAGATCAGGTGACTTAAGGTTCTGCCCAGCACAGGTCATCAGCTTTGTGTCCCAACTTTTCCTTGGTGTGGGTGACCATCAGACCTGGTGAATGACTCGGTCTTGCTCCAAGATGTTAAGTTTGCAGGGTATCCTGGTGTTTCTCAATTGTCAGTGAGGCGAGGGGGTAGGGAGGTGAGGCAGATGTTTCCTTCTAAGAGGATCTGGGGAGGGGTTGTGGAATTCCTTTTCTGTGTGTCCTCAGCTAGGCATGTGCTAATAGCCTTTATAAGAACTGCCTCACAGTTGTGACCAAGGGATACCTCATGTTCAATCCTAGGGATTGCTTTTGCTCTTGGTGGCCTTAGCTCCAAAAGGTTCAGCAACACCCACCTTCAAACACCATGAGGCAGGCAGGCAGATCTGTTCTCTCTAATCGTTTCTGGTGGTTTGTCCCCTGGCCTCGGCAGTTTACTCATGCACCTGCACAGAACAGTACCCATCACTCGGCACAGGGCTGAGAATAGTGCCTTTCCCCACCAGCCAAACTGGAAAACCTCATGATTGATGGAGCAGTGGGTTGTACAGACAGAAAAGAGTACGCTACTCAGAGAGAAGTGTTGTGGCCCCACAACTAATAAAGGTAGATGGTGATCAACTGCAGACATATACTATAAACCTTAAAGCAATGGCTAAATGACAAAATAGTTACAGCCAATAAGCCAGTAAAGGTGATAAGATAGCATTCTACAAGTATTCAACAACTGAAAGAAGACACAAAAAGAGAAAAAAGGAAACAAAGAACCGACACGACAAATAGGAAAGTAAAAAGATCTAAACTTAATCCTATAAAAGTCACCTTGAATGTAAACGGTCTAAATAGCCTATGTAAAAATTCGACACTGTCGGATTGGATAAAAAGTAACATCTAACTATCTGTTGCCTACAAGCAACGCACTTTATTTATTTATTTTTTTTTTAATTTTTTTAATGTTTTTTTTTTATTATTTATTTCTAGGAGAGAGAGACAGAGACAGCGTGAGCAGGAGAGGATCAGAGAGAGAGGGAGTCACAGACTCTGAAACAGGCTCCAGGCTCCGAGCTGGCAGTCAGCACAGAGCCCGACGCGGGGCTCGAACCCACAAACCGCGAGATCATGACCTGAGCGAAAGTCAGACGCTTAACCGACTAAGCCACCCAGGCGCCCCAAGCAACGCACTTTAAATATTAAAGCTGCACATATGTTAAAAGGAAAATGATGGAAAAAGGTAGAGCATATAATGCCGATCAAAGGAAAGCTGGAGTGGCTATATTAATATCAGATAAAGTAGATTTCAGAGCAAAGAATATCTCCAGGAATAAAGAATGTCACTTTGTAATGGTAAAGGAGCAAATTAATCAAGAAGACAGGGGCACCTGGGTGGCTTAGTTGGTTAAGCGTCCACTCTCAGCTCAGGTCATGGTTCAGTTTGATTCGTGGGACTGGGTCTTGGGTCGGGCTCTGCACTGATGGTGGTGGTGGTGGAGGGGGGCTGCTTGCTTGGGATTCTCTCTCTTTCTCTCTCCCTCTCCCTCTCTCTGCCCCTCCCCTGCTGTGCGTGTGCACGTGCACTCTATCTCTCTCTCTCAAAATAAAAAAATAAATAATTAAAAAAAAATCAAGAACACATACAAATCCCAAACATTTGTGCACCAGATAACAGAACTTATAAGCGTATGAAGCAAAACCCAATAGAATGGTAGGGAGAAACAGACAAATCCACAGCTATGGGGTTTCAACATCCTCCTTCTCATAATTGCTAGCACATGTAGGCAAGAAATCAAAAAGAGTACAGAAGACTTGAAAAGCACTAGCAACAGTGATAGGAGCACATGTACCCCAATGTTCATAGCAGCACTCTCCACAATAGCTAAAACATGGAAAGAGCCTAAGTGTCCATCAACAGATGAATGGATCAAGAAGATGTGGTTTATCTATACCATGGAATACTACATGGCAATGAGAAACAATGAAATCTGGCCATGTGTAGCAACATGGATGGACCTTGAGGGTGTTATGCTGAGCGAAATAAGTCAGGCAGAGAAGGACAAATATCATATGTTTGCACGTATAGGAGGATTAGGAGGAACTTGACGGAGGAACAAGGGGGAGAAGAAGGGCGGAAATGGTGGGGGAAAGGGAGAGAGGCAAACCATGAGAGACTCTTGAATGCTGACAAAAACTGAGGACTGATGGATGTGGGGGGGAGGGGGGATGGGCATGGAGGAGGGCACTTTGGGGATGAGCACTGAGTGTTATGTAGAAACTAATTTGACAATAAACTATTTGTAAAAAAAAAAAAAAAAAAGAAAAGCACTAGCAACTAACGGCCTAATTGATATTTATAGAACACTCCGCCCCCCAAGTAGCAGGATATATAGTTCTTTTCAAATGCACAGAGAACTCTTACCAAGATAGAACATATTCTGAGTCATTAAAATAGTCTCAACAAGTTTAAAGGAATTCAAGCATCATCTTTGACCACAAGGGGAATTAAATTAGAATCAATAACAGACAGATGCCTAGGAAAGTCCTCGATAGTCATAAGCTGAATAGGACACTTTCCAATAACACATGAGTTAAAACAAGAGGGAAATTAGAAAGTAATTTGATCGGAATGAAAATGAAAACACAGTATTAAAATTTGTAGGATTCTGCTAAAGCAGAGGGAAATTTATAGCATTCGATGACTAGATTAGGAAAGAAGGAAGGACTTAAATGAATGACCTTAGTTTTTACCTTAAGAAATGGGGTGTCTGTGTGTGTGTGTGTGTGTGTGTGTGTGTGTGTGTGTGCACGCGCGCCTGGGTGGCTCAGTCGGTTAAGCTTCAGCTTAACTTCAGCTCAGGTCATGATCTCAGGGTTCGTGGGTTCAAGCCCCGCATCGGGCTCTGTGCTGACAGCCAGCTCAGAGCCTGGAGCCTGTTTCAGATTCTATGTCTCCCCCTCTCTCTCTCTCTCTGACCCTCCCCTGCTCACGCTCTCTCAGAAATAAATAAAACATTAAAAAAAAAAAGAAACAGTGAAAAAAGAGCAAATTAAGCCCAAAAGAAGTAGAAGAAAGGAAACCACAAAGATCTGAGTAAAAATCAATAAAGTAAAAAACAAAAGACAAGAAAGAAAAATCAGTGTGAATGAAATCTTTGAGAAGATGATTATAATTGATAAACTTGTAGCCATACTGAAGAGTAATGAGAGAGAGAGACAGAGAGTCTTAGCTTAGTAAAATAAAAAATGAGGGAGGTGACACCAGTACAGACTTTACAGATATTACAAGACAATAAGAGGCCGCTATGGAAAGGTCATGGCTACATATATTTGACAAAGGGACAAATTCCTTGAAAAACACAAACTACCAAGGCTACCTCAAGAAGAAACAAATAACCTAAATAGCCCTATTATCTACTGCAAACATTTAATTTGTATTAAAAACTTCCCCACAAAGAAAACTCCAAGCCTGGATGACCTCACTAGTGAATTCTGCCACACACTTAGATACAAAACCAAAATCATGATCCATAAAAAGAACAAATTAATAAATAAGACTTTATGAAAACTAAGAACCCTTGCTGTTCGAAAGATGCTTGTGAAAGAATGAAAAAGCCACAGAGGAGGAGAAAATCTCTGTGAAGTATATATCTGATAAAAAAAAAAAATTTGCAATCAGAATACATAAAGAACCTTCAAAACTCAATGATAAGAAAAATGGGAGTTGAACAGACACATAAAGGCCCAGACAGGATACAGGATGCACGTGAAAAATGTTCAGCACCATTACACAGCAGGCAAGTGCAAATTAAAACCACAATGAGATGTTCCTACACATCGGTGAGAATGACTAAAAGAAGAAAGATTGACCATACCAAGAGTGTCGGCGAGGATGTAGAGGAAATGTCATCTGCATACATTGCTGATGAAAATGCACAACAGTACAACCTCCTTGAAAATCAGTTTGGCAGTGTCTTAAAAGTTAACCACACGCCTATCACACGATACAGTCATATTATTCTTAAGTATTTTCCCGAGAGAAATGAAAGCGTTAAGTCCACTCAAAGATTAGTACAGGAATGTCTACAGACGCTTGTACTAATCGACGCAGATGTCTGTTTGCGACAGCCCCAAATTGCAAAGCAACCGATGTCTGCCAAGAAGTGAATGAAGAAACAAACTGTAGTTTACACAGAGGACAGAAATAAAAAGACGTATGTGAGCTATGGATGTGTGCAACCACATGAAGGAAGCTCAAAATAATTATGCCGAAGAAGGAAGCTGGGGAAGAAAAAGGGTACACGCTCCATGATCTTATATTTCGTATAAAGTTTTAGAAAATGCAAACTGACCTATAGTGACGGAAAGCTGATAAGTGGATGCCGTGGGAGGAGGAGGAATGGAAAGAATGACCCACAAGGAAACTTTTGAAAGTGTTGGATGTGTTCATTATATTGATTTTGGTGATGAGGTCACAAGAAAGAAGCATGTCCAATGCCCACAAAACTTATCAAAGTGTACATGTTAAATATGCATAATTTGTTGTATGTCAGTCGAATCTCCATGAAAGAAGGCCCTGTGCCCCTGACCCCTTCCCGCTGTCTGGAAAATGTCCTGTGTACCTTGTCTGCAGAGCTGGGCACCCCATGGCCACAGCTCTGGGATCCCTTCCCATCTATTTTCCACCTGCAAGCCCTGCCTTTCATGATCCATGATGATGGGTTCTCCTTCGGAGGCCTGGTTCAAAACCCACATTTTTCAAAAATGATTTGATCCTGAGTAGTTTAGACATGTGACTTCCTAGCCTAGTGCCTAACACGTCATGGGCACTCAGAAGTATTTGTGGGATGAGCAACTAGGAGCCACAATTCACATTTTACAATCAGGGAAGCCAGCTCAAGAAAGTGAAGCGGTGCCCCAAATCATAGCCGAGGAGTGAAGGGCTGGCCGGGTCTGGACCCAGATCTGGGTCCCACCAGAGCCTCTCCGGGAGTGACCATCCTACAGGACCCAAGCAGAGTCTGGGTCTTCGCAGAGGCTGGGACAGGGGCCCAAACAGACAGGAGATGGAATAAGCCCAATGGGAGTTAAGCGTGTTGCCTGCTGGATCAGAGGGTTCTGCGCTCAGAGGCTAAGCTGGACCCAGGAGCCCCAAGTCTCAGGACTTAAATCAGTCAGATCCTGACTTAGAGTAGACATGGGTATGAAAATCTTTACATAAATCTTTACATTGTGCCAGGTGCTTACAGGTATTATCTTGTTGGATCTTCCAAACAAAGTCATGAGGTGGGTCCCACGATTGGCCCCATTTTACAGAGGGGGAAATTGAGGCTCAGAGAGATGTCAGTGGTGAGGGTTGAGCCCGGTGCTGAGCCCATGCTGGCTCATGGGGTGTTGATTTGTATAGTCACAAAGGGCCCTGTGCTTTGATGGGCCCCATGCTTGTGATAATGCTCTGCTGCTGCCGTCTTGAAGTTCTTTGAAACTGCGTTTCCACTTTGCACGAGGCCTCACAGATTATGTCTGATCCAGGGCTATGAGCCTCACCATTAAAAAAAAATTTTTTATAATGTTTTATTTATTTCTGAGAGAGAGAGCATGAACAGGGGAGGGTCAGAGAGAGAGGGAGATACAGAATCTGAAGCAGCCTCCAGGCTGTGAGCTAGCTGTCAGCACAGAGCCCGACGTGGGGCTCAAACCCATGGACAGTGAGATCATGACCTGAGCTGAAGTTGGACGTTCAACCGACTGAGCCACCCAGGCGCCCCACCATTTTTGTATTTAAAACTCACAGCACCCCAAGAGCAGCCCTGTTTGTCGAAGAGGAGAGAGACGTGGCGTGTAACATGGGCACACGGGTGTCTGTTAAGACCCCAGAGCCTGGGAGCTTAACTTCACCACGCTGTCTCCCAAAACGTTCAACTTCTTGAGACACTGGATCTGGGCTGTGCTGGGATCAGGAATGTTCTCAGCTGCCTGCTCCCATTCCCTCTTGGTGGCCTTGAGTCCCTCCAGGCCTCTCAGAGCACCTGGGGCTCCTCTCTGGGATCTGTCAGGGATGGGTCCCGTCATGTCCCAGATCTCACTCACCCAAGAGCACAAGGAACAGCATCGGCAGCCAGGAGCAAGGAGGCGAGTGGGCCCGCGGGGTCAGGGTGGTCATCGCCAGGGGCTCGCGTGCCTCCTGCAGTTCCCAGGACCAGCCGCCGTTCTGCAATCTGGCGGATGCCGGAGCCTGAAATGGGGCACGTGGACAAGGCTGTTTGTGTTCCTTGTGGCCAAGGCTACTTGGGGAAGTGTTGTTTTCATACGGGAAGACAAGGCTGCTGGTGCAAGAGGAAGGAACTGTTTGGAGGGGGTTCCGGGTTCTGTGTCTGGGCCACGGGAGTTCCTGTAACCACTCGGTCAAAACCATACCGACCCTTTGTCATGGGCCCGGTCCCCAGTACCCTGCTAGGAAGATGAGTGTGCCTGTCCTAGCGTGTCCCGAGCCAGCCAGGTGTGGGCTCAAGTCCTGGGTCTGCCTCTTCCTACCTGTGCGACCTTTCACACACACGTGCCACCTCTGAGCCTTTGTTTCTTCATCTGCAAAATGGGGATGGTAGCAATTCCCTCCTCCAGAAGGTATTGCAAGAAATATAAGATACGTGGGTGAAGGCTCAGCACAATGTAAATGCTGAACATACCAACCATCATTGACCACGATATGCAGGAAATAGAGGAGGTGGCATTTGCTTAAGAAGAAGGATTTATTGGGGTGCTGGGTGTCTCAGTCGGTTGAGCATCCGACTTCGGCTCAGGTCATGATCACACGGTTTGTGGGTTTGAGCCCTGCGTCGGACTCTGTGCTGACAGCTAGCTCAGAGCCTGGAACCTGCTTCAGATTCTGTATCTCCCTCTCTCTCTGACCCTCCTCTGCTCCTACTGTCTCTCTCTCTCTCTCTTTCTCTCTCTCTCTCTCTCTCTCAGAAATTAAAAAGAAGAAGAAGAAGAAGGAGAAGGAGAAGAAGGATTTATTAAGGGTCGCCTGGGTGGCTCGGTCAGTTGGGCGTCCAACTTCGGCTTAGGTCGTGACCTCGAAATTCATGGGTTCGAACCTGGCGTTGGGCTCTGGGCTGGCAACTTGGAGCCTGGAGCCTGCTCTGGATTCTGTGTCTCCTTCTCTCTCTGCCCCTCCCCTGCTCACACTTGGCCTCTCTCAAAAATAAATAAACATTTAAAAAAGAAGGATTTATTATAAAGCAAGCGCCATGCAGGCCTCCTTTTGGCAGTGAGGACAGGGCATAGACCCTGTCCTTAGATGCATAACCAGGAGCAACTCTTGAAACCTCCATTTCCTGGGGCCCAAATGGAACACACCGGATCATATAAAAATTTGTGTTTGTGGCATCTTAATGTTCTGTAACTTTCTCAAGAGTCCCTATCATACTGGCTGTTGGCAAGGAAAAGTTTACTTACACTGGCCAATGAAAGCAATCCGAGGCTCTTCTGGGTCTGTCTGTCTCTTCACCTGCACTGTCTGGGTTCAAATCTTGGCTTTACCCAATCATCAGGACTATCATTTGAGCAGTTTGTGCCTCAGTTTCCTGATCTGCAAAATAGTAATAAGAATAGGGGCATGGGGCACCTGGGTAGCTCCATTGGCTGAGTGTCTGACTCTTGATTTCAGCTCAAGTCATGGTCTCCTAGTGGGTGAGCTCGAGCCCCACATTGGGCTCCCCACTGAAAATGCAGAGCCTGCTTGGGACTCTCCTTCTCTCCCTCTCTCTCTGCCCCTCCCCTGCTCATGCTCTCATCTCTCAAAATAAGTAAATAAACTTCAAAAACTTATGGTTGCACGTATGAGGTGAAGTGAGCATTGGATACACTGCTATCATACTCTTTTAGGCTAGCTCAGTTTCCTTTTTTCCAGAAAAAAAAAATGCTCAAGCTTTCCATGCTTCCCTCCCTTCTTCCTACTCCAGGTGTAGGAAGCAGAGGTGTAGGTGCAGAGGAGGCTGAAGTTTCTTTCCGGGCAGGATGGTGGGCATTGGGTCTGAGTCTTATCTCGGGGCCTGGTATCTGTCATGGGGAGGTTGGTCTGGCCCGGTCCTTGAGCACTTTGCTCTGAGTCTGCTGAGGTGTGGCTGGTCCTGTCTTCTCAATCCCATTGCTCCTTCTACTTGTTCTCCTGTTGAGGAGATTCATATATTGGAGTCTCTTTGAACTGACCACAGGCCTGGACAATTCCACCAGACCCTCGGCACCTCCATGTCATCCTCCCAGTGGAGCTTCTAAATCACCTACTCATCTGCCTGGGTCCCTTCCTCAGCTATTCCTTTTCTTCTCAAGTCTTTCTCAAAATTAATTTTATTTATGTGACCAGGTAAGGTACCGTAATGGTCAGCTACTGCTGCGTAACAAACCACCCCCCCCAAAATGCAGTGGCTTAAAAGGATACCCATTTATTTAATCTGTGATTCTGTGGGTTGACAATCTTCCCTGGGCTCAGCTCCAAGGTTCTTCTCATCTCAGCTAATTTTGACTCAGCATTTGAGAGCAGCAGCAGGCTGGCTAGGAACTCTGCCGCTGGGGTTGGCTGACTGTCGCCTGGACCACCTCAGCTCTCCTCCGTGTAGTCTCTCATTCCCCAGGAGGCTCGTCTGGCTTGTTCACATGAGAGGGGCGGTGTTGAGAGGCAGCAGGGGTTGCAAGGTATAGTGTCGCTTCTATAGTGTGGCTTTTGGCCAGAGCAAGTCGCAGGCCAAACCAGATGCAAGGGATGGAAAATAGACTCCTCCTCTTGATAGGAGCTGCAAAATTATATTGCCGTAGGTGTGGAAGTAGGGAGGGGGTGAAGAATTATGGACATTCCTGTAATTTATCTATTGTGGTGCTAAATTCACAGGATTCAAAGTCTCCTCCATCAGGCTCCCAGATACCACTTTCCTTAGGGTTGACCATAGTCACCACTTCTAGCCACATTCAATTCCTGCACTACTGCCGATCCACTTCTCAGAAGGCAGGCTGGACATGGCTCCTGTGGGGCCCTCCTGGGGAAGCTGGGTCATGGTCTTTTCTGCACTAGGAATCTCTAAACATACCCTGGGGGTCTATATTCCCTTCCCACCCCAGCCCAGAGTTCTAACCCCAGGGGCCTGGTGGTGCCGGGCCCCTGGCATCCCAACTCCTGCCCTTCTTCCTCTTTCTCTTGTCACCCTCCACAAAGTCATAAGAAGAGGCAGTCCCCCTCTTTTCTTTTGTAGGGACTTTCCTAATTTTGGCCATCTCCTGAACACATGATCTTCTTTGTTCTAGCTGGGTGTGCTCCGGCCTTCCCCAAGACAACAGAACTCAGACTCCAGCTTTGATGAGGGACAGAGCTGCTCGGAAGGGACTAGACTACAGGACAGAGAGAAATGCACAAGAAAGTGCTTCAGTAATATCAGCCCCGTCCCTGCTTATCTGTAAATGGACCCATGCGTGGCAGGTGGGGCACCAGCTCCCGGTGAGAGGTCAGTATCTAGAAGCAGTGATTCTCCTCCAGGTCAGCATGCTGGGGTGGCACAAACAGTGACTGTCACCAGCTGGAGGGCTTAGCCCCACGTGTTTTCAACAGGGGCTCCTAAGGTCTGAACAAAACACCAGTCGAAACTTACATCAGCTTTTATATTTCTCCCTACAAAAAAAAGAAAAAAACTTTGTTAAAACAATACCTTCTTCCTTGTTTGCTGCAAAATGGAAAGCATGGTAAGCAAGTCTGGAGAAAACACTGAGCCGCATCAACCATCGAACAAATGCCAATTTAAAAAAATAGCAATACGGGTGTTCTTGCAATCAGTCTTTATCTCCATTCTTTTCTCTGTTCTCTTTTCAGAGGACTAGAAGCTTGGGAACCACATTTTCTAGAACTCCTTGCTCTGGGTTGGGTTCTGGTGAGGAGAAGTGCTTGCATTAGATTTGGAAGGTGGAAGAGGAGAGGCACGGATGGCTTCTTCTCTAGAAATGAGGAGAGGCAGAGCGGGAGCCTGAGCAGATGTGAACGTGAGGCTGTAGGGGTCCTTAGACTTTCCTCCACAAGCAGCTGTCATCACTGCTGGCAGTTCCCATGTGTCGCGCAAGATTCTGGATTCTCCAGGAGCTAGCAGTGAAGTTGGGCCTGAGGCAGTGAGGGTTTCCAGTGGCTTCGTTTGCCTTTCTTGTTTCCTTCTCCTGTTTCATGTCAGATCCCATGACATGCTTGTTGGTGTCACTTGAAGGTTTTACCGAGGTATGACTGTATGCAACTGCACAAATACTATGCGCAGCTCACTGAATGTTTAGAGTTCTTATGTCTGTGTACACCCGTGTAAGTCACCATCATGATCTTGATCCTTCCCATTCAATCTCTGTGTAAAGCCCTGACAGTTTTGTAGGAGGACCAAACTGTCTCCTGTCTCTTCTTACAAGGGCACTAATCCCATTCTTGAGGAACCCCTCACTCAGGACCTAGTCACCCCCCCAAAGGTCCCACCTCCTAACACCATTGTGGTAGGAACCCCTCTGTAAGGAGAGAGAAAAAAAGAGGAGAGAAGACTTCAAGGTCACCTAGATATGTGCCTAGGTGCCTACATTCCCCATGGCCTTGTAAACTGAGACAACTTAATCAGACTGCATGTTTATGTGTGTTACCATATATGGGAGACAAAGAAATAGAAAATGCATTAAAAAACTATGCCATGTGATGTGGGCCGCTCATTTCTTTGGGTATGAACCCAACTGAGCGGTGCCGGCACGAATAAAGTTGCTTCCTGGAAAGAAAAGCCTTCGTGTCATGACTCTCTGTGCTAGAATCCTGCAACACCATCACACTGGGGAGTCGGCTTCAGCATAAGAATTTGGGGAGGGGGGACACATTCTGTCCACAGCAGCTGCCAGTGCATTAGAAGTGTGAATCACCCAATCGGACAGCAGGTGTGTATTTCCAGGAAGCTGGGGAAGGTCATCAAAAAGATGTGACCACCCATTGACCCGTGAGCTGGACCTGGGCACTAGGAAGCTCCACACCTCCTCTCGTCCTTGGAATGTGGGTACTGCTTGCCTTTCCGGCTCCCAGAGGCTGCCCCAAGCAATGAGATAGTGATGTGTTGTTGGGAACAGCTGTGGGGCACATGCATAGGAATCCAGCCAAGATCACTATAGAAACTTGTAAGCTTTGGCAGTGGGGGCAGGGATTCACTTGTCACCCCGGACAAGCCTGGTATGTGAGTGTCTCTTTTGCTTATTACAACATCCAGGCTGGAGTGGCCTGCATGTCTCTTCAATCTCTTTCCGCCCCTTTATGCTGTTTG